GAGACAAGCTGATGAGCGATACAATATTATAATGAATACCTTTGACTGACACTTACCATGGAAATTGTCATACACTTGACCCACATGCACATTTTCAGCCGGTAGTCCAGGTAACTATGAGAATCTATCCTGGATACACTTATGAATGGTGCGATCTAATTTAAGTAACTGTCCAAAAACTGGCGACCGGCATCTAGCAAACATCAAAATTGATCAATTTACAGTTTATTCAAGCTCTGGCCGAAGTTGAGGTCCTCCACCTGCAAATGGCGGAATATTCGGGTTTGCAGAAACTGCCAAACTCGAAATCTTAACTCCTATACTGTATATCTCGTTTTTCATACCTTTGCTGTTACTACGGTTTGGGATTCGGCTCTTAACTTAAAACACACTCCTAGCTTGCGGTTTATTTACTAAGCAGACGCACAAAACAGGCGAAGTGCGACCGAAATGGATGAGTACGTTTTAGTTTTTTGCCGCGTTCACAGGAGACTGAAACCGCCCAAGTGATGCTGCAATAAACCTTTTCTATTCCACCATAATCGCTGCCGAAATTCAAGCGCATCTTTCAAGCACGATTTAAGCACATTTAGAAAAGCTGTAGTCGTGCAGCTCCGATCACTTACAGATGCATCAGTTTCAGATCCCCTGATGTACATAAGACTGTGAAAAACAGTTAGTCTGGTTATCTGGAAATTTGCAATTTTGGCGCTTAAACAGGAAAAACACGCGTGCCAAACATATTTTATGCGATACAACTTCGTCCAAGAGCGCTCGACAAATAATACACTGTATGTGCCGCCTAGAGTGACCTTAATAAATAAATAATTTTATTGAGATCCCGCGAGCGTACCTTCATAGCAAGTAAAAATACATTTTCAAGTAAATTTTAGAACAAGTAGACAGATTCTGTACAGTATTCAATTCACAGTCCGAGAGGAAGCAGTCAGATTCTCAACAACGGTCGCGAGTAGTGAAAAACTCTCCTATGGAAGAGGCAAAATGAATACGAGTTGATTAGCTTTTAAGAAAAAAAAACTGCGCCTATGAAAGGGTAAATATGCGGCCCAACAGGACTGGCCTGCACATGGTATTAGATAAGGGATTCAAAATGGAAATCGTCAAGGCAGAATTCTCAAACCGAGTGAGGCTATCCGCCTCGAAGTGGTAAGACATGAGGAACCTAGATGCGATGGGTCACAATCCGCTTAGAGTCCAGCCGATGAGGGAAAAGTAAAGGCTAGGGTGACCACCAGTGCGTAGAGCGGAGAATGCGACCTTGAGACCTCTTCACCGACCGACGAAACTACTAGCGAATTATGGAAACAGAGGACGCCACCGAGACTTTCAATAGAGCACTTAGGATCGAAATGAGAAGATGGCGGCAAGAAACACGAAAATGATCGATTGGTGATGGGGATTTGAATTCAAGGGGTCACGGTGGACTCCTTGTGAGGGTCGGCGAGTAGCAACACAGAGGCGCTTAGAGTGTACGCGTCAACCTGGCCCTGATACTTCTTTAAAGGAATTTACAGGAAGGATGTCGCGCTCTGTGAAGGACACGATTCATGGACTGAAATGTCGAAATTTTTTGATTAGAGATCCCAGAAGTCGAAACCGCACACAAAGAAAGAAATGTGAGCGGACACGGTAATTTGGCAGTGGCGTCCTTAAGTCCCGACGGCCTTTACTGAGTGAGATGGAGAAAGTTGTCCGGGAAGAATGAGGAAAATAAAGGTTTAATCGAGTCATTTTTTCAGATAAACGCGCAGTCTCCTTCTAAATGTGTGTAGATTATCTGATGACTTTATATCAGTTTAAGGCTGTTTTTAAAAAGTATACGTGGAAGTGAAAAAAAGAGAACGCTTAGAGGTGGAGGAATCAGGAGGAGATTTAATCAAGGAAGAATGGCGGCTAATAGGGGCACGGGTTGAAGTTCAAGGAACGTTTGAAGCATTGTTAATGCGAAAGAGGAGACAGAAGCCTGCTTCTAGTCTTCGAACCTACAAAAATTTTAGGTTAGTTATCTGAAAAGGTCATATTTGGGTGTTCCGTGCCTAAAAGTTTTCTAGTAAAATGTCTTTGAGCATTTTCAACTATAGGGCGACTAACCTCGTTCACCAAACCAAAGAATGGACAATAGTAGCCAAGAATGGGAGGTACAAACATTCGATAGAGTCTTAATTTAATTTCAGGAAGATAGAAATTGTAAGAAATAAAGCCACAAATCAGGGTAGCTTTGGCCGTAATTTTTTTGACGTGTGGCTAGAGATCTAGATCATTCGTTTAACTTAAACCTAAATCTTTGATCATGGTAAATTTAGTCATATGTTTGTCTTGGATGACCACTGGTTGGGGTAGACTCTTGATAACGTCCTCACCAGCGACTTTCTAATGATTAGACAGGAGCGTAAATCAGATTAACTGTTTTACGATGAACGTAAAATTTCTTTATCGACTGCTCCGGGTCTGATTGAGTAGAAAAATGACAATAACCACGCATATTCATTAGGCGGATTTTCAAAAAATTCACTTATAAGACTGACCATTTTTCTCGTATGTGACGATAAATGCTGCAAAAAGAGACGTCTACCATGTCTCACTTGCAGATTCGATGAAGATAGCACGTCACCCACAGTGTGGCCGGTGAGATGAAGTCCTAAAAGAAATTTGGCAACTTAGTGGCTCCTGCCAAATAATGCGAACTCGCATAACATACCATTTCTTGGGAATTGAAACTAGGTTTCTGATACATGCAATTAACGGGATACCACTTCAGAGGTCAGAAACAGACATAAGTCTATACGTTTAAATCCGAATATCCTATAGCTTTTCATTTGCTGCTGTAAGGCGGTTGAAGTCGAAAGTTCGATAGCGTGCCCAACCCAACTAGCTTTTACAGATTTCGGCTAGGAATGGCTGACCGGATTCATCAAAGAATTTGAAAAGCCACACATTGAATATGCCATCCAGATCTGAAGATCGTGAATTTAGTGCGTCTGCAATCGCCTTGAAAAGGGCCAGATTAGTCAAAAATCTTGGTTATTGTCATTTGCGTTTAAAATTAAAAATCTGGACCACTCCACCCAGAATATACGCAAGTGAGTGGAGGTGTGGTACAATAAACCACATACAAGGCGGCAACCTCTTTCAACTCACAACTACATTGGGCCAACTTGGAACCCCTTGGGAGAGACAGTACTTTTTGTCGAACCATACGGTGGGCATGTGACAGTCTGTCCGAGACGGCTGTAAAGTACCTCTCTGTGAAAACCTTCAGATATAACGTACATTGGTAGACATGTGTGATGACAACAGACGAACTACTGCGTAAACTATGCGGATTTTACATATTGGGAACTATGTGCAGTTTAAACGGACACCATAATTATTTTAGACAGTTTCCAGTACTCCTGATTCAAACAAAACTAATGGAAAGTTCAAGGACGCAGAATCACTTGCCTTTAAAAACTCTGAGCTAAAGAATGCGGCAGTATCTTCTATAAAACAGTGACGGTAGACGTTGGCTAAGTTTAGGACAATGGGAGCAATTTGGTTAAGCGTTAAGAAAATCACGTAAGATCATGACACTTTTGGTCCTCCATTGTCCAGCATGAATTCTCATCTACGGCGACAGCACAACAAACACAAACAGAAGCTACGTTTTGTGTACTCAGCTAAAGTTAAGGACTATTACTGAACTATACAGAGCAGTTAAGAAGTCGAGAATGATTTACGAAACCGCTGCGATAAGTGACATATGTCGGGTGTAAGCCTGATGGAGACGATAAAGCATAACTAACGGCGATACGTATTGATCGATAAACGTGAATTTCCAATTTAACTGGACAGAATTTGTGGAGTTTGTTATTTTTGTAGTTTAAATGCATATTTACTTCTGAAAAGTCAATTTGATAAAGACTTGTTTTCGGTAACTCTGCATCAGGCCAATACGGTTACATAGAAGTTTACATTATGCGAAGTTAGAGGGCTTATGAGTAATTCAGGGACCATTCACACCCATCAGTCCCACGCCACTTTCATAGAGGCGTGGTATGGCGTGGTCGGTTTGTCGTGGTCATTAGGTCAAGGGAGCGAGGGAGAGGGGGGACATAGGCTGTGAGTAATGTTTGTACACACCACAGCCATCAGGAGGTTGGGGCGACGTTGGGGTCAGCGTTGGCCACGGAAGACAGAGCGTCTGTGTCAGAGTCTTCTGACAGCATAGCACTGGATTGGCTAGCCGTATAGCCACTACCTTGGCTGTAGCTAGCACCCGTTGGCGTAGGCCGTTACAGAAGCTTGCTGGTGTCCGGCAGACAACCTGAAAGGCTTCTTTGGCATCGACTCGGTGACTCGTATCGACAAGATTTGCGGAATACATCAGTCGTAAAACGAGGCGCTTGGATAAGAGAGAACGGAAACGCACACCGGCCTGGCTAGGCAGAGGTAAAAAGAAATCGATCTCGAGTTCTATTCTCGCACATCTTGTCGATACGAGTCACCGAGTCGATGCCAAAGAAGCCTTTCAGGTTGTCTGCCGGACACCAGCAAGCTTCTGTAGTGGCCTACGCCAACGGGTGCTAGCTACAGCTTTTACGTTTGCCTTTAGTTTGTTCGACCTCATTGTATTGGTCGACCTGGTTGGAAATATTGCGGCTGGGTCTATGTGCTGGCCACAATTCGGAGATCACAAGTTCTCGCCGCCTAGTCGCGTGCCGCTGCATATTTAATTCATTGGCTTGATGCGCGTCTATCGTGACGACACTTACACATTTGTCTACGTGGGCTTATGTTTTTAGTGTATTCATTGTGCAAAAAGATTTTGATGGTTTTGGAATCACTTGTCTAGATTTTGGACGAGGATTTGAGCATTTTACTGACAGAGTATCCTGCCTGTCCAGAAGTTATAATCTCCCAAATAATAGCTAGTCTTCCGGCAGGCGTTTTCTTACGCGGATACCCTCATGACATCAAAAAAGGTGGCATCGAGTCCCATAATGTCAGCCTTCTCTCGCCCCTTTAAAGTTGCTGCTGACCACGAGCCCGTGGATACTCTGAGTGTCATGCAGTGGAATATATTCGCTCAAGGTATGGTACATTGTTATCGTTGCTTATGCATAGGCTTTGTTCAAAAGGACGAATTTATTAACTGTCCTTCTGCCCTCCTAAATCTGGAAAGACGGTTGGAGCTTTTTCGAGCAGAAATTCTCGAGTATTCTCCCGACATCATTTGCCTGCAGGAAGCAGACATTCATTCGCAACTAGTATCTGCCATTTCTTGTGAAGATTCAGGTTTTTATGAGCATGTGTTCGCACCCAAACCATTGTCTCCTTGCCTAGCATATGAATCGAACTTCGGGCCAGATGGAATGGCTGTTGTTTTCAGGCGAGTTTTTAGTTCAGATAGGCTCATAGAACCTACGCACGCCTAAGTGGTTGATGATGTTTCCCTTAGAAGGGGACAAGTTTATTCTAACGAATTCCACAACAGTTGAAAATATTTTCTGTATAGCCCACTCTGTACGTTGTATTTTCGGAGATTTGGTTTGTTAGAACTGCCAATAAAACTGGAGTCTTTGCATGTCCGTAAGGTGAAAGCGGAGTTCTCCTTGCTCAAATCAGTGGATAAAATAAGTTACCTGGAGAACTGTGAGCACTATCCCAAAAAATCTATTTCTGAGAATGGAGTTCACAGTACATGTTACATTTGTTTCAGGTAGTAGGGCACCACACACAATTGGACGCAAGCATTCTATTTTTCATTTGCATTACCACGCGTGACAGCGTTATTTATTCAGTGTTTGTATGCATTAATATTGAGAGTATGAGCATTATGTAGTACCGAATCCGTTTTGCCCTAATTTTAAAAACCTCAGTGACCCAGATAGGGTTTGAGCCCACGACAGAAGGAAAGGTTTAAGTACAGCCAAAGCTCTGAACACCTGAGCTACTAGGTCCCACCAGAAGCCATGTGTTAAACCACATTTGGGCCAAGTTACTCGCCCAGCCTACTGCAGCGTATAGAATCCACCAATCATGATACAGTAAGCTAACTGCCCAAGCAGGATTTTCTAATTAGCCAGTCTAGAATCTGCCAGATGACTACTAGGCCCACTGCCGACGTACCTAATAATCAAATGGCCGTAGTAGTCATCTGGTGGATTCTAGATTGATTACTTACAAAATTCAGCTTGGGCAGTCATTTTGCTGCATTAGGATTGGTTAATCCCATGCGTTGCAGTAGGCAACTTGATCCGAATGTGATTGATCTCACGGATCCCGGTGGGGCCTTGCAGCCCGAGTTTTTGAGTGTCAACTGTACTCAAGCCCTACACTTTTTGTCGTGGGTTTAAATCCCACCTTGGATGCCGAGTTTCTCGCAGTTGGGTCAGACTGAATGCAAAATCCGCCAAAACACACTTATTACCTAACCATTTGTTCTGACGTGAATGAACTCAGACAGTTATCTACTGTGACAATTTTAACAGTTTATGCAGTAGGCGATTTGGGTAATTTGGTGGAGCAGATGTCCAAGTGTATTAAAAGGATTCTTCACAGCATAGCTGGCGTCGGTGGCTATTGGTCGACAAAGTTTAGCAGTTAGATGCTTGTGCGTCAATTGGTATTCTGCTAAATTGTCGATTTTTAGTTATCTCTTCTTCGTTTAGTGAAATATCGACTTTTTATATTTATTGACCCAAAACAAATGCAGCCGGTACACCCATTTTATGTAAGAACCTTCCCCGATGGCCTCACTGCACGCAACTCCCGCAGTTGAATCCCTTAAATCGAATTAGCTTCCGTTTTTGTCGAACTGATTCCTCGATATTGGGCACTTCGGCTCTATCGGTAGTCGGGAATTTACTTAAGTGCTTCTCACGTAGTCATATACCTTGCTTTGATATTTTAACCTCCCTCTAATATTTCCTTTAAGGCGAGACAGATTAAAACTCCAACACCACAAAATTGTTCCAACGGTAGCTGACGGTTCTCGATGTGCACTTGTAGTGGTCCTGGAACACATCCACACGGGATTTACAGTATGTGTTGTGTGCGTTCACCTTAAGGCCAAACCGGAGTTTTTTGACTTCCGCCGAGACGAAGTCGAATGTCTCATGCAACACCTAACCGGCCTTCTGCGGACCCGTAAGGATTATGGACTTTTGATTGCGGGCGATTTCAACGCTGAACCTTGGGAGCCAGCAATTCAAACTCTCCAGTCATCCGACCTTGGATTAGCTAGCGCGTACGCCAGTGCGTCTGCTGGCGATGAAGCCGAATTCACCACTTGGAAGGTTCGAAAAACAGAGGATGGTAGTCTTCTTGAAGTCCAGCACACCATCGACTACATTTTTTATTCAGTGGCAACTCTTAAACTCTTGGGTATCAGACCGATACCAAAACCATCGGAGATCGGTGTGGGAGCCCTTCCATCGGAAAAATTTCCATCTGATCACATCAACTTAATCGCTTATTTTGGCTTACCGGGGACGCCAAGTGATGGATATTGACTGCATATATTCGCTGATCCATATGAATGTAAAATATTTTCATATTTGCCTTTTAATCCTGAGGTGAAGCCCACTTATCCTAGTATTTTTTGCACAAGCTCAGATTTGTCTGAATTTTAAAACTTGTGTCACTTTATGAAAAATATGAGGTTTCTCACCTATTTATACAGCGTTTAGCTCTACTAAAAATCCTTTCGATTCCGTTTTTAAAATTTTGTTTGTATGCTCTGCAGATGCTATTTTTATGAGATTTGTTTTTGTGGTTGTACTTCAGTTTCAAAAGTATAGTTATATTAACGAGCAATCTGTTTTGTTTATTATCGCTTAACATTGAGCAGATCCGTTTACATTCGTCAAATTGCTATCAATCGTTTGGTTGCTCAAACGTAGTGTGTTTAATTTGAGGTTTTGCCCTGATCAAAACCTCCTTTTCCCTTTAAATATTGTTTCTTTGCACACAGGCAAAGTTATCGGGGATTACATATCTCTCTGGACCTGGAGCCGTTAGCAGAAAGCTTACATTGTTCTGGAGGGCATTCATTAGTCCCTTTTAGCGGGTACAGTTTTCACAGTGTCTTGGAACCTATCTAGTTTACCGCTCCGTTTGCCTGTCAAACAGGCACTGCCTTTGAAGGCTTTTTGCCTTGTTCACATGTCTCTTTCTGTCCGGTTCATCCTCATGTTTATGGTAGAAGGACGCTCACCGATCGTGTTACGGGTATGACTGACTGACGGTGGCCAATAAGCCAGGAGTGACCATTCCAGTCCATTTTGTCCTTGTCGACAATGTTATTCTGCCTTATGTTTATGTTATTCACTCACATCTTAGGAATGCATCATTCTGGAAACAGAAGTTTCGAATGTCAAAATCACTAGTTTTCGGCTCATAGATCTTTGCTTTCACCAGCCTGCAATTCCTTAGCAGTTATTTTCCCTTCTAAGTAGTGGCTTGTTAAGTGGTGCTTTTAGTAGCGACACACGCCTGTCTCCGTGACTAGACATCACACTTTGAATTTGCTACTCATATCCGAAAAAGTGTCCCCCACAGTGCCTAGATAGTTTGACCATCACAAGAGACAGTGTCCACTGCATGCCTCACGTAGTGGGCGCAGCATCAGCGACTTGCGCGTGACTCGGTTTACAGTGCAACAAACTTCCGCAGCATCAACCGCACTCTCCCTCACCTCTTGCTTCGACAACGGGGTCGTGTCAAGGCGGAGCTGAGCTCGGACGCTGTGGCCTACATGGCTAATTAGAGAACCTGATAAGTATGAAGAGCTCACTTGATCAGTGGAATTGGGTAGCTGACGTTTCAGAGGGCTTCACCGGCTCTCCATTATCAAATCGTTTTGTGCAAAAAATCGACCAGAATTTTTTAACAAACGGCCAAACTAGTTGGCCTTGGGCCGATCAATTTTTCCTTCTTTCGCTGCCTTGGCCTTTTGGCCGTTATCTGTGAATGTAGGCGGCCTCCTGTATTGCCTGTCGTCACCCCGATGGGGGTCGGTTGCACGTGATCCGTTGAGTTCTTCATATTTCTCAGATTATCGACCCGGATCCCTTACATTTGCTAACATGGCTAATTAACCCCTCCACACGTACAACACACGACCTGGTCTGCACAACATGCAGGGGCATTCCGTCTGGGAGATTCGGATTCTGCGTGCACTTTTTAGCGTCATAGAGGCCACAGTGAGCGCAGACATTGCGGCCTGACTCCTCGGTCTTGTGAAGAGTCGATTTATCCTGCCAGTCAGCAGTCTTCCAAGCCTTGACTCTAGTGTGCGTGGTGATGGATTCAGGCGCGTCAGATTTATTATAAGGTGTGCGCTGATGTGCCGGGAGGATGGATTCCCCACACGCTTCGGGGTTGGGTATGACTGGCTGACGACCATTAAAAAGTCAGAAATGGCCATTCCAGTCTCCCTTGTCTTTGTTAGTAATAGCATGCTGCCTGTGTCATGCGCCGCTGTGCGACTGCTGGTTGGGCTCGAGAGAGAGCCCGTAAGGCACAACGGAACGAGTGAGTTCCGTCAGAAAGATCGGTGAGGGCCCCTACCATTGTGTATTCCCGATCGAAACCGACAGGACAACGGGCTCGTGGCCCAGTGGTTAGAGGCGTTTGACTTATAACGAACAGGTTACGGGATCGAGCCCCAGGTGTTCCACACTTCGGGGTTGGGTATGACTGGTTCACGACGGCTAGTAAGCCAGAAATGGCCATTCTTGTCTCCCTTATCTTTGTCGGTAATACCATACTGCCTATGTCATGCGCCGCTGTGCGGCTGCTGGTTGGGCTCGAGAGAGAGCCCGTAAGTCACAACGGAACGAGTGAGTTCCGTAAGGTAGATCGGTGAGCGCCCCCTACCATTGGATTCCCCAATGTCAGCTTCACTCCCATTTCCCTCTCCTATGCGTCGGTCACTCGCCCGGGCCTGCCAACCAGCAGGTGGTAGAGTTCGACGCACTGTGAAGGCCTACGTCTAGTGTGTGCCACCACACACACACGTACGACAGTAGTTATGGGTTTGCGCGGTCTCGGCGCTCCGTGAGCCGACCCGACCCCCTTTTTCGTCCAGCGTCCCTGCAGCGCAGTTTTCTGTGGAGACCAGAGTGCCTCAAATGCATTGAGGCGGCCCTTCAAGGAGCTCTTATTGGATGATTTGACCATATTTATTTTTGGTAGGATGATCAAAATCTCATGCGCAAGTGTGCTCTCACAATTATCTGTGAGAATGTTGGTGAAGATTAGCAACAGATACCTCTTCCGAAGGATGGATGAACAAGTGGAGCCGGCAGAGCTCGTGGTGGGTGGGGCACGAAAACAGCAAAAGGCCTACGTAGACCAATCAAATGAAGACTGTCGTGCTGTGTTTATCCGTAGGTATCTTTGGAGAGGCGCATAATGTTGGAAACTTGTCAATTGCTTGGGTCTGGGTAGGTCTAAACCGAGGGGTGCTCAAAGAGCATGTATCCAGCAAAGGTCGAGTACATGTAACCGTGGAGGTAGATCGCAGACTCGCGCAGTTGCAGCCATGCACAGTCACCTCTCCGCATCAGCAGCAGTGCCTGGTTGGTCGCTGTCGACCAAGGCGAGCTTTCACACCAGACGTCAAATATGTGCTTGTCATTGTGCATCAACCGAACGGCAGCCTGTAAAGGAAAAATTGACAGGAAGAAACCATGCCCCGAGGCTTAAAGTATGCATGGTCCAAAACTGAGCATCCTAGGTCGTGCAAGTTCAGTGCCAGCGACCGTCCTTTCATTTCAGCAAGACCCGGGGGCTTGCAATTCCGTCCCGATTTGCAAAAGATTTCTCCTTTTGAGCTGACGAATGAGGCCATTTGTTTGGCATTGGCTTTATTATCCCGTAAGCGAAAACCACAAGGTGGGTAATGTCCCGTTTGGATGATAAACACCAACCCGCTTGCTCTGCCGTCCTGGTGATCCTATGCTCATGTACAATTAAACGCTACTAACTAAAACGAGTAGGCCTTTAAATGTACAAAATGTGATTTTGAAACTAGGTGGTGTGTTGAGCTCTAACAGCTTCGAGTAGTTCCCAACATGCCGTTTTTTCTGCCAAATTCTGATCCCCAAAATATGGTTCAGAACTAATAGGACAAAGGGTAGTGTGACCTCGGGAATTTATCCCGTGAGGTGGAAAAATTGAAATTCGTCCGCCTACTTATCCTCCGACTTCTCGGTTTCCTCTAGCACTGGGTAGTCTGTGTAGGACGGTTTCTTGCCCGAAGACCTAATGTAACGTGGCACGTTTTTTGCATTTCTTGCGCTTGTCTTAAAGAAGGGAGGTAGCAATAAGCACAACGGTTACTGTATTCGTCCTTATCATTGCCATTCTCAGACGATTCCACATCATGCGTGATATAAGGATACTGTTTACCAGGATGATTCCGGACTGCAATTGGGTGTACTTGTCAAGCACTCACATTGCGACTAATTTCCAGGTTCTGCCATGGCTATCAACTGTCCCTGCTTTCTCGACGTCGCTGCGGCGTCCTGCCATCTTCATCATGATTACCTGTAATGTGTGCCAGAGAGAGAGGGTTTGCGACCAAGGCCAACTACTACTGCACCGTTTTTGAAGTTCACGTCCGCAGCAACCTTCCAGTTATTCAATATTTGATCTGGCACCAAAGAGGCTGCCTTATGCTGCTAAGAAACTTCACGATGTCCACTGTTGGATCTTGAAAAGGGCACTACGCGCATTTAACGGCGTAGAATGAACAAAAGGACGCCGGCTGCGTCAAGTTATGATAACCTACAAAGTTTAGTGCCTTGGATGAAGGACGTAGCTAACCCGGTTGGTTGACATCTAGGACTAGGAGAAAGCATCCATCGGAATTTCGGAACACCGCAATGGCTTCAAATAACGTCGTGCCTGGCCGTGTGTAATTAAATCTAAGTCGGTATTACTCAGGGGTCTTGCAAGCCTCCCGTGGCTTATATATGCGCTGGGAGGAAGTCAATCATCACAAAGATAGGCCTGTGTCGGAGGTTCGTCTAACCAGTCCTCCACAGCTGGACATCTTGGGCTGTTTGGGCGGAAGACGTGTGAAAGCAAGAGATTTTCGATCACTGATGCCTAGAAACAATCGTCAACGTGAGGTACAGAAACTTCCTTCCGAGTTAAGCTGTCCTCGTTGGCTGCGGAAACCCCACTTTTAAATCACAGGCCATCCGAAAAAGACCTGCCAGTTCGGCGTCCCTGCTCTAAGTCCTCCACTGCCGCCTTACCAGAGGAAACGTAGAAGGCCTGGTTCGAGATGGTCCGTCAACTCTGGTATTCGGTCTTTGCTGTCGAAGAAACTAGGATGCAGCTAAGTTAACTCGTTATCAGATATTCGGCCTACCGTAGACATGCTATCCGAGAGCTCGGGATGCACTTATACCAACGCTATTTCTGCCGAGGAATCATAATGTCCTAACTTTCCGAAGATCGCCTCTGGTGCCGTCTTCGTTTGTGTCAAGATATTTTC